GCCAAATCTGTATCATCCAGATGGGGCCGTTCAAATTGGTCTCAAAGGGCTCATCCCGGGTCATGTCAAAAAGAAGGTGATAGAGATGGGAAAGAAGGAATGGACCTGTGGCAACGTCATCAAAATTATGAAGAACCTCTACCAAGGGGATCCATTCTACCCGTACCCCCTTGGATTTGTTGGGGAAGACGTGCTTGTTAAGCCAGTAAAGAAGAAAGTACATATGCTTTTGATCTTTGTCGACTTGAGGAGAGCTTGCCCCGAAGTTCTTCTTGACAAAAGGGATGAATCCTTTAAAGGAGGTCCCATAACTTTTGAAAGTAACTGAGTTATAGCTGAGAGGAAGGAAGTAGGTGGAAGAACTTGAGCCTCCGGTGGTAGAGGATGGAATCCAATCTTGAGTAACATCTATCACCCTGCCCGATGGCCTCAACCCGAAGACTTGGGCCATATCAAGAATGGTGGGAGACATGGGACCCATACGGAAATCGAAGGTGTTTGTGCCCGTATTCCAAAAGAGGAGGGCAGAAGCAAGCAATTCGGGCTTAGGAGTAATTGAAATCTTCGAAAGCATAATCAGTTCGTAGATGCCGTTACTCATCCATTTCTGCTTGAAGGAAGGTTCCAATTCGTCAATCCATTGGGCCCAGGCAGGATCATTCATCAAGGGAAAGCCTCGACGATGAAAAGACCACTTAGAAGAAGAAATGCCCGAGTCGGCCAAATAAGGATTTGGGGTAAACCAGTTTCCCCTAGGCATATTACTTTCTACTACTGAGGGAACCCGAGAAATCCAGGCAGGACCCAAAGATTGAACCCCATGCATCTCAAAGAAGAGTTCAGAATGCAGACCTGCCCGCGGACGATGCAGCCCGTTGAGCAGACGGCGTAGAGTGGCAATTCCTTCACCAGACTCGTAGGATGGTAGGGTTTGGCCGGATCCTGAGGCCATTTAATGAAGGTCGTGGGGAAGAAAAACAAGGAGAACGGTAAAGATGCAACCTCGTCGGACAACGAGAAAGAAATGATGGAAGAATTGAGGAAGTTTTGTTGTATCAGAGAAGGTTTTCTTTTTACGAAACACAGAGAACGGAGAAGTTCACTCACAAGGGTTTTAAGAGTTCTAAGGGTTTAAAACAGGGGTCTCTTTCAATTAATGTTGGCGCTTGGGATCCCAACCTTAACATCAATTGAAGGGGGCACTGTTTGGGATAAAATCTGAACTTTGGGCCAGAGAGAAAGCCGGCCCAAACCCAAGGCCCAGAGGAAAACTTAGGAGGCAGGAAAGAGGCTTTCGGCTGGGCACAAGTTACAAAGGCCACCTGCTTACCTGCTCAAAGACCACAGGGGGTAGGTTATTCAGTCACTGCACAGCCCAATAAAGTACTTTATTGGTGGCATTCATGTAAAAAAGCTAGTGAGTCATCACCAAACCACATTCGAGCAACCGCTATTGCTACAGGAACCCAAGCTGAAGTCGTCTATAAAAGGAAGAAGAGAAGACAGAATTAAGGACACTCAAACAAACAAACAAAAGCCAAAACTCTGCTCAAGCCAGATTTGCCTTTAACGAAGCTGTAGTCAGCACAAGCCTTCATCCCATTCGGGATAAACCTTCCCAAACCCCTGTAATAGCTCTGCTACCTTGTTCATGGTGGTATCGATTCATTTTGTATCCTCTTCTCCCCCGTCAACCCCTCTAAAAGCTTTCAGACCTCTGACAGAGCCACAAAGATAGATTTTGTAAGAAGTTCAGCCTTGGCCGATAAGGTTCAAACTTACCCGACTATCTTTGCTCTGTCTTTGTCTTTTCTTTCTTTTAAAAGCACAATAACATGTTATAGATTCCCAGTTATATACAAGTTATTTCTAGCAAAGTCATAATGAAAATGAGTCTTCAGCACTTGGATCCGATCTGAATCGTGTCAGAGTTCAAATCAGATCTAAGTCTTAAGCCCGGCGGGCATGTAATTTAAAGATCAGTTTAAAAGTCCTTGGCCTCAAGGCATAAAAAAGAACTCTATGTGGACTCAACCCATCAACGACAATCTTTGATAAGCGAGAAGTCCGAAGTTACTTGGGGCGCAAGTAATCAATCTATTTCTCCGTTTTGTTGCTATTATATCTTGATTCGTAGAAAAGGCTTAAGCAGGGAGTGAATTCTGATAGAAAGCCTCAAGGCCTACACCTAAGGCCCCACGAAGGCATCTATTTAGCTTCATTTCATGTTGTGGTCTAGTTGGTCCGAGTATAAGGATTAACTCTGATGGGAAGCCTCAAGGCCTATACCTAAGGCCCTACAAAGGCACTCATTTGGGTTCGTCCTACCTCTTGGATTCAGATAATCAAAAGTATAATAGTGATAAGACTCTGGCAACCATAAAAGACCAAATATGATACATCCAAGCGCTAGTTTAGTTTGACAGGAAGCCTCAAGGCCTATACCTAAGGCCTCAGAAAGGCACCTGTTATATCTAACTTGGTTTCTCGGGCGTATACATATCCAATCAAAGCTTAACACCCATTCAACATCTGCCATACTGAAGATGGCAGTGGCACGCCTGAGCACGACAAAGTTAATCTTGATTGTGAGCCTTAAGGCCTACATCTAAGGCCCCACAAAGGCACCCTTTCAAATTAACTCTGTCCTTCTCTTTCAGAACTGTCCGACGAGCCTTGCCCGAAGTGTGTCTTGCCCGACCAAGATCTGCCCGACAAAGGCTTGCCCGAGCGAGCCCGAGAAGAAAGCAGAAGTACGACAGATACCCTCAACCGACGCCATTCTCCCAGGGGAGCTGTGTGCTCGTCTGCCAGGAGATTCCTGCGACGAACAGTAGTTTTCCGACTCATGAGGCAACTCTTGCAAAACCACCACAAGAGTTTGTAAAGAAGGAGGCCGAGTGGGAGTGGTTGTGCGCTCATTTTCTCTATGAAAAGTATCAGGTAATCAAATTTTATTATATTTTAATTTTTGTTCAATTATTATATATTTTAGTCAAGTTAAATTAATATTTTTTTAATGGACAGAAAAAATTGATGGCAAATAAAGATAACCAAGAGAATAAGTTGTGCCTTTACCAATCCGATTCTCGACCCCTATCTTACTGGATCAAGGAACGGTGGGCAGTTGGGGAACCTTTTCCAAAGGTGGTGGTTTTTTTTTTTTTTTTTTTTGGGGGGGGGGAGGAGGCACATTAATTATGGCACGAGGTCGTGAATGAAATTTATGTAATCATTCATTTATATTTTTTTAATTACAAATTTCATTACAATAAATAAGGTTTAAATTATAATTGATAATCCTACTTTGTTTCCTTTGTTTTTTTTTGGTAGGCTTTTATGATATAGAAGAAGGGTGAGTACCTTGCCAACATCTCTCTACAGCAACTGGACGTGCCTATGGAGCAGTTGACACCTCCAATGCCAACTTCTCCAGTTGCTGATGAACAAGGTTGGCCGAAAGAAGGGCAAGGAAGTTCACGATCTATGAGCATGTCGGGTCCGGGAAGTCGAGTCTTCTTCTTCTTCACCTAGCTCTACTCCATCGACCGAGATTGATTCTAAACTTGACCAGGTAGAGATGGAGCTTGCGCGCCAAATGGAATTAGTGCACATGCACATCAATGCCTTAGCTAGTCCTTGTTAGCTTATGGCATTAGAATTCCCGAGCCCCTGGCTGAGCTTTTGCAGCCATTCCCCCAGCAATTCTAGGATCCCCTAAGAGCCATCCCATGAGCTGCCCGAGCAGTCACACCACCCCCAACACAGTAGTTTATATTTTTTTATTGAGTTTTTGGTTATATAATTGTACGAACAATTTTTTTGTTGGGTTGTAAATAATATTTTTTCAATTTTGTAATAATAATTGATTTTCAAATTTTAGAATTAAATAAATTATTTAATATAACAAGTGTTTATAATTTTTTTTAATTAAAAAAAAAGGTAGCATAAGGGACCCCTCGTTGCACAAAATGTTTGCCCATATAGTCTACCCGACGACTGTGCCGTCAGGTCAAGCATGTGAGTGCCTCAAAAGCAACAGCTTAGGCCATTTGGATGAGATTCATACTCAAGTCTTTAGAGAATTGCAAGTGGATGCCACACCTCTTTTGTGTGACAACACATCAGCAATTTCCATGACCAAGAACCCAGTATTTCATTAGAAGGCTAAGCATATCAAGAAAAGATATCATTTTATCAGGAAAGATTTACAAGAGAATATCATCAAACTATGCTACTTCAAACCCTACAATCCATCTCATATATAAACGAATTATATGGTTGCCGCATTTTTGCACAGCCTTGTATCCGTCGCACTCTGAATATACCTTCATTCTTTTTGTTCATTCCTCACACACACCAAAATCAAATCAAACACTGAAAGCCCAATGGAAAAAAACAGACATTACGGTATTTGGCTACACTTGTTATACAAATATTCAAACAAATCCACATGCAAGGAGACGCAAATTAATGGGAAAATGCTTAAATCCCAGAGCAAAAATTCCCGATCCATACGCTCGACCTCCAATATTTTCAACTATAATTTTGACCTAACATGCTAGCGGCTAGCCAAACATATATACACGTACCTTAATTATGAATAGACAGCCCTTTAAAAAGGAATCTTCATTTTATTCGAATGAGGATTAGTTTTGGGACTCAGTCCTTATTGAACTTCAACGATCCAAATTGTCTATTTTGTAAGTCTCGGTTCATAGATCATCCTTATAAAAATTTAATTCAATCTAAAACTATTTGCCTATTTAATTATCATTGTAAAATTTCAAGGTTTTTCTTAGAACAACATGTTCGTCAATTTCTTTAAACTCAATCAGATGCCTCCAATAATTCCAATTTGGCTAATATTTTGTAAGGATGATCTATGAGGTGCAACTTAAAAAAAATAAACAGTTCAGATCGTTAAAGTTCGATGTGGTGTAGCCCACAAGTAATCCCCATTTTTATTAAAAAAAAAATAGAAATCCATTCCTTTAAATGCCTCGTATGAGTACATATATAGATTTTTATCTACCTAGTAATCAATTTTTGTAAGATGTAAAATCATATGTTCTATTGTACAAGATTGTCGAAGCATGGACATGGAATTTGATCTTTACACTTGCACCTGTGGTTATTAATCTTGAAAAGGTCTAGACGTGAATCTCCCAATCGTGTAGTGTATGCAGCTTTCTTGTACTCACCCCATGTGAAGGGCTTGTAGAGGCTGGGCTTCTCCGGCGACACCATCTCCGGCAGAGGAGACATCCATGCATTGAGTGGTGGTGCCCCAAAGTACACCATTGACATCCTTGGCTTCACCACTGAGTTTGCCAGTGCCCTATGTCTCACGCTCACTAACCTCCCATTCGTTAAAGCCTGCAAATAAATAAAAAATGAAATTATATTTAATGCGTCCCAAAAAAAAATATGTCATCTAAACTACATATTAACAAAACTTTTTTTGCCAACCAAAAGAGAGTGAAAAAATAATTTAGTCTTCTATCACAAAATAAAATCAAGGATAGTAAAGTAATTTTGCACAACCTAAATTTTACACTTTTTTTAAGCCTCACCCACAAATGATGCTAGCATATCTTTCTTTCTTCTTCCTTATTTTTTTTATTTTTTTTATATTATCTACACTAAGGGGAAAGAGTGGGTTTAATCTTATAATGGACTAGCAATAATGTAGTTCAAATTCACCTTTAGCAATAATCGAACATAAGACCTCTCATTTACCAATAAAGAGGAATGCTACTAGACTGTAATATTAAGTGGCATATCTGATTTAAAAAATAAAAAATAACAGTCTCTCTCCCTACCCTACTTTTGAAGGCTCTCTTTCCTTCCCCCTTTAAAACCAAAAAAAAAAAAATGTTCACACACAAAGTGTGTAGGCATAAATTAGAAGAAAACATGGTGGGAGTTTAACTACCTACTTTGTAGGTTTGTTCAACTTTTGTTTTTTTTTCATGTTTGTTTTTATTTGCGAAATTAGCATTTTACTATTTGGATCATTTTAATTCAATTAGTCTGTTCTAAGAAATGAATTTACTGTTGGCAACACCAAAATAAAGAACTTGGATCATAGAAGAGATTATGTTGTAACCGAAAGATATTATTGTCACTCAGCTTGCGACATGCAGGGAGATCACTTCCACATATTTTTCTCAAAATGTAACTCTGAAATTACTTGCCGGACAAGGAAACAGACCGTTGAGATTTACAATTGATTGGTTTTTTCCTCTTGTTGATCTGTAGAGTACCCCAACTTGATTGATTCTAGAGTGAGAAAAGAGGGAGAGAGACAGAGGGGTTTTACTTTTATTTTAATTTTGATAAACAAATATAACTTTTCAAATCATATAATTAGTTCAAACTTTTCTAGTGATAAAAAATTTATAATACTTGGTAAATTTACGGTTGATCCAAAATGAATGATGATGTTACTGACCTGTAAGGCATCACCAACCATTACAAAGAATTGATTGGCGTCGGGAGCGACGGGAACCCACAAGCCATCACGTAGAAAAATCTGAAGGCCCCCCACGTTGTTGGATCTAAAGATTGTCAAGATTTGAGGGTCAGAATGCTCTCCAAATCCAATCCTATTATCATTATTGTTGTTATTAGTGAAAGGATGCTGTTTAGTTGCTGTGTCCCAGTCCTTGACCGGAGGATAGTGATTAAGCCTAAGAATTGAGTCGCTCTGGACGTCTCTGATGAACCTGCTGAACACAGACTTGTCTGAAACCCATAGTCCCTCGGCCACCAGATCAAGAATCTCACATGCCAATTCTTTAACTGCTTCTATGTAATCATTCACTGCACAGCTGGATTAATTGAAAGAATATTGATCATGTTAGTAGATAGTCAATGAATAACTACCACTAAATAGTAAATAGTTATCGTGCGAGTGAGTGACTGTTAGATCATTATAGTATAAAAGCAATATTCACCAATTGATCACTCCAGGAAATATGACAATTATTTGGTGACTATTACTCTTTTATCTACGAGTGACTGTCCATGCATTGTAGAATTTATTTATTCACTCGCTCATGTATATTCTATACTAGCATATAACCCAAAATTAAAGCAAGCGTTTGGTAAGAAAAATCATCTCAATGCATTTCCAAATTTAGTATAGGAAAAAAGGATGCTTATATATGCAACACAAACTTTTCTTTGAATCTCTCCATTTACTAGTTATTGTTTGGTACTATATATCCATTTGTACCAACATAATTCATCCTCATAAAACTTGTTAACTAATCCTGGTGGTATTAAGTGTTAACAATTCTCTTTTATCTATTTTTAATTTGTTGACCTACACTTCTAGCTATATATATATATATATATTCATGATTAGGGTTGTTAATTGGCTCACTATTTCAAACAAATAACTATCTGGCCCTAGCTGCCGCCAAAAGTGGGAGTCCCACAATTGAAAATGTGGACCAATGCAAGCCTGCCTCTGTGTGTGTGTGTGTGTGTGTGTACATATATATATAATGTCTTTCTCTTTGTACTCGATGTAACTCGATGCCTGGTTTAACGTGGTTTCATTTTACTCATATGATCAATACCAATAAATTAAAATCAGTTCATGCAAGAATGTATATATATAAGGTCGATCCAAGCAGTCATGTCAAACTTTCATTGGTACATCACATGCCCGATTCATAGATCAGCAAGCATTCGGTACTATTTGGTGACCCCAGTCCCAAAAATGTATGAATGGAGAAGTACTACGGATAGAAAATGTTGCAGAAATGACAATAAAATGATGATATATTTAAGATCATGTAATTGAGGTTAAACTTTCCAACACTCAAGTCGGCTTCGAAAGGATTAAACTCAAATATTGACAAAAGAGCATAATTCCAATGCCATACATATTGCAAACAGTGGCTGACAGTTATAAAGCTAAGCTGCTTATCTGCCTCTTTGCTACTTTTAGATGGGTTTTATTTGAAACAAGAAAACTTGGAGACCACCGACCCAATTGCTTTCCATCCTAAAATCTCATCATGTACTATTAGCCTCAATCAATTTTCTTATAGTTATTAACCCTGGATATTCATTGTTAAATCTTAAAGCTATTAGGAGAAGGTACTCAATCATTGTATACTTTATGTAGGAACCTCGGCAGTTAGAATCAATGATTGTATAGTTAGTCAAAACTTAATCTATCGTATTTTCAATAATCTAAATGTGAATTATTGATGTCATCAGCAACTCTAACCTCATAATCGTGGAAGCACTAAAACCAACATTCAATAGAGTTTAGAGGGGGCCTTGTTTATCTAGGTAAACCAAAGCGCTATGTAAACAGCTCATCCAATTGAAGAAAGTCTTATTAAATTTTTTATCGGAGTCCTACCGCATTAGACCAAAATATAGTGTCCGCCGATGAATAAACAAAGAAACATCTTCCGCCACTAATATCATCGAAGACTTCGTATATATATAGCAACAAAAGGATTATTATTCTCGTAACAACCTAACAAGAAGTGTAAGTTCCAAATGTGAATCTAATTAAGGAAATGTCATTGTTAAGTATAACTATAATAAAGAACGATGACATCGGAGATGGGCATAAATTTAATACCGTTCTTTTTCACGAGACAAGGTAAAACCATATGCTTACAGGTAATTATCGTAAGGAATACCCAGATGAAGGTATTGAAGTACTCAACACATACTACCTCCATTTTCCACACTTAACATCCTTAATAGGAACAATCCTCTTTCACTATGGCCACAGTATTCATTGAATTCAGAAGTTATTACATCTGAAAACATCTTTACACTATATCACATGACTATTAAAAGCATTTCAAATATTCAAGAAATAAATTCTAAACACGAGACGCATAAAGCTCTAACTTACCAAGAACATACGACGCTATCTTATGAAAGAAAACAAGAACAAACCCACTTATCATATACCATCTCTACATCTCCCTCGATAAACTATTATGCATTACACTGTCGCCGACATATGGAATAATGTACTACGAAATATGTGCATGCATCACCATATATAATTAGAAATATACATACATGAACGCTAAAAATTTTACAACCAATTGAATTTTACGTATAGCGGTTACATTGGATAAATATACATATGACGACTCTCTCAAGAAATGGAACTGTACCAATTGGTGTTGAATTAAAGACGAGAACCACAGAACCTATATATTTTTTTTTGTTTATACATATTCACTGTTTTTAACTCTGCGAACAAGATGGCCTCATGTTCTACCTCTATTTCTTTTTCCACCCGCACACAAGATGTCGACGCTTTGCAACGCCAATGTGTTTCTACTGCAGCTCATAGCCAGAAAGAAGCACCACACGGGCAGACTCCTCAGTTGCCTGATCCAACTGTTGCTTGAGCCAGACAAGCAATTATACAGACCCTGTGTTTCGCATTTTCTCTCACACGAATCCTCCTTCTAGAGCATAATACCATGGCTTGACCACCTTCAACAAAACATATCTTCCATGGCTTCAACAATTTCTTTCTGATAGCTATGAGCACCTATTCGTGAATGTTCTGCAGATCGCCTTATGTAGGGAAGATCTCCTGACTGCCATTGAATTATACTCCTTGTCTCTACTTGATTCTGATGAAGGAGATGCATCCCAACTTCTTGTTTCCTCTTTGTATACCTCCATCGCCGATGAAAGGACTATGTCTATATACTTGAGCAAAAAAAGGATTTCAGATCCAGGCATGTAATCAAGAGCGAACATACATACCGACCTTTTGAACGTACTCACTGTACCTTTGGAGTGCGATCCCAAGGTTAGAGGTTGGGTTGCTCTTATTAAGAATGATAGGAAGCACGCCAACGAAGAGAGAGAAGAGACGAGAGTAACCATAATGGAGAGACGAGAAGAAGACGAGCGCAGAGAGATGATATGATGTTATGAAGAATTTCTGAAAACGAAGGACAACAGACCACAAGGAAGAAGATTTGAGGAGAGAGATGCAAGAAGAGAGAGAAATTAGATACACAAGTAAGAGAGACGAGAAGAAGATGCTACAAGAGGAGAAGAGAGGAGAGAGGACGGAGATAAAGATGAAATACAAAAAAAGAGAAGAAGAAACAGAAGAGAATTCAAATTAGCTTGATAATGTTATAGCTAGAGAAGAAAGAGAGGTGTTGGAGGCATAAAAAAGCATTCACTTACTTTGGAGACATTATTAATTACCCTAACAAACAAGAGAAGGAATATATAACCTAGCCGACTGTGCGACACATTGCATAGGCAAGAGAAAAGAAGGAAACAATCTACAAATATATATACACACCCGAAAATATCTAAATTTCTTCTAATCATCTTCACAAAATTAAGTACACGAGGAAACACTCCAAGCACTCTGTTATGAAGCTTTGGTTAGCTTCTTTCTCACTTCTCACTATTGCTCTCTTGGTTGTTTCAAATGTGTGATCCTTCTCCTCTTATTAGGCATGGATCGACCTTGGAGAAGCCATGGAAGCATCATGCTAGAGAATATCATCAAATATTCCACGTACCTTATTCCTCGAGCTAGAATTATCTCCTCAATCTATGTAGGTTAGAGATGGAATGACATACTCACCATTCCTTCTAGACTCTTCCACCACTTTGACTTTCGATAGTGAATTCTCATAGCATCCCGACATAGCGTAAAATAAGGATCTCTTGCTTTCTGTATATGCGGGCCGGCATCACTGTCTTGGGTCCAACGACAGAGAGTCAATGCATTATGCACAATCCCCTTAATCTTTGTCTGTTGACGCGATTGATTTCAACTCATAATCAATTGATTAAGGAAGTCCTTATTGTAATACAGAAAGTCCCGAGACATTGACACGTGAATATCTCCCGCTGTGTTTCGTCATAAGGGCTTCACGATATTCCACTTGCACATCTTTCTTAGCAATACACTACTCTTATGTATATACTCCGGGACTCATCTAAGTGTGTAATAGGCTCCTGATAATTGGTGAATAATGGGATTTACCTTCATAGAGCTCATTGCAGACTTGTTGTCGACATAGATCCTGTTGGCACCTCTTTCGATGTTAGCTAGGCATCTCAATTCATAAGTCCATAAGGTTATTCTCATTATCTGAACTTGCAATGACACGGACCGACAAATAGAATAGAAATGAATCAATAATAACGGAGATAATATAAATAAATAGTGAAAAAGCTCAGGAAAAAGAGTAGCAGGATGCTCTACAGTAGTTCAGTATTCGCGGTAAGATATAGAAAGTGCCGGAGTACAAATCGGTGATTGGCCTTACTTACGACATCCATGTGAATTATAAGTTACGATCTCACACTGATGATAAAAGAACACAAAAAAAATCAGAACAAATTAAAAAAAAGTTAGGATTCATTTATATATCGTCTGGTAATGCTCCTACCCAAGGGTCACTTGGAGTCAGATACCCATCCAAATTTTGTAGTTATCAGAACTTATAATATTGAGAACCACAGAACCAGCTTCACATCATGATAGCCTTTCAATAACGGATATCGAAGAATTGCATATCTTGAGACGTGATCTTCAAGTGTGGTAGTGTTGTTGTGAATTAGCAAATGTAGCGATGACTAAATCCGGCTGCCGATAAGGCAGCAAAGCTCTAAGTTGTGGTCATATCAACTAAGACTGCCAACGCTTCACCAAGAGAACATCTTGAAAAATGTTGGATCTCATTCTCTTTCGTATGCTGGGTTAAGTCTTGACTCCGCACTCGTATTTCAAGTTGTGTCCTTATGGGCATTCTATCTTTCCATTTTTGAGAACTTTTCTAGAAAAAAGATATGATCATTTGATGTGGTAGAGCTTTGCTTAGGAAGGAAAAAGATGCCTTTATTTTGTTTGAACTGCTTGACTATACAAAGAATGCACCTATACAGGATAGAATAGTCGCCAAACTTAAGTCCGTGTGTAATTCTCATCCGCTATTCCTCTTGGTTCATCATTACTCTCGTTAACTCTTTCATACCATGCTTGGATTTATCTCACTATGATAGAGTGAAAAAAAGATTTTAGAACATCCACAATGCCATGTGACACACAAGTGAAGTAGAAGAAGGTCATCAAATGCTGTTGGATTGCTTGAATAGAGAGATGAAAGTTAAGTTAAAATTAAGAAACGCGCCACTATGATGCAAGTGTGTCTTCTTGAAGACTACACATTATTCGATTGCGTACTCTCTCCAATAGACTTCGTTTGGCGAGGGATGTTATTATACTCGCATAAAGGGCATTCTACAGTAGAATTCAGCCACTGTTGCTTCATGTCCTTTTGATTTCAATTAGATAGCAATAAAGCCTAACAGAATTGTTAACTGAAGTTAGTAGACTCTTAACCTTCAAGGGTACTCCCATTTACGAAATGGACTTCACATCCATTATGGGTGTGAATATCTACCATCGGGGGTTGGTTTGACTTAGCAGTAAATATAGTTAATAAACCAGATATAGTGAAGTGGCAAAACGTCTCGGAGTCAATGCGGATAGCCATATACAATACCAAAATCTATATAGTCGATTCCAGCGCTCTATGACCTATAGCCATTCGCCACTAGTCTCGTCCCCTGTGTCTTTCAACCTTCTCACGTCTGGCATTCTTACTTCCTGCTATTATAACCCCACTTTCGACATTCAATGATTGACTTAGCGCTCCTTTCGGACAGGAATAGCGAGAAAGTTACCATTATAGTTTTGCGTGGTTGTTATGATATGCTTTCACTTTTCTTCATCCAGTTAGCTTCTCCATTTCGCTGAATACTATAGCACTGCTTGCTATGGAAGTCAAACTGGGTTCACAATCAGCAAGAGATAGAAAGTGTAGGTATACAAAGGGTCTATATGCAGATCATTAAAATTCCTGCGTAAACTTCTTATGTGTTATAGGTATATCTCTTTTCCATTATTCAAGGGTTCCTCAATTGACAATAATGACTAAGAGATAATCTGTGTGCAATATGCACCGATGATTGGGTTTTGGTGAAGCAGGTGGAGTAGTGATTACTTGATTTTGAACCTCTCTCTGCTTGACTCATATACATCCTCGTCACTTCATCTCTTGTAACTGCAGTCGGGAATACTGAACGATCACACTGCAAAACGCGAGAAGCACATTAAATCCACAATATCTCCATCTCAGTCAAACGTCACGTCTTACGAGCGAATCACGTCTTCTCACATTGTTTGGTTATGACAGTATAATAATAGAGCATAAATTACTATGTGAACGTATTCGAGAATCAAATAAGCCTGATTGAAGAGTGATAACATTTTCTAAAACTTCTCTCTTGCAGAATCAGTAGTGTGGTTAACCATACAATTCTCTATATTTAGATAGCAATGTACACTGCGGCTATGCTTCCAAATCTAGGCCATGAAGACCCAACCTCATCCTGGTTTAATCTATCTCACTTTCATGCTCTGTGTCGAGATAAGGTACTTTCCTACAACACTTATCTTTGTTGGAAAACTATTGGTGATTAACCAGTATTTAACATGCACATGATCACGCTCTCCTAGAATCCACAAAAACTCTCAGCGCAAGATCTTAACTTTTGAGCATGCTCTCTACCATGAGATGCTTACGACTTTACTTGTTTCTTCAACATCAGCCGACACCAGTAATATCTGATATAGGTAGGATCTAAAATTGGTGAACTGTGCGATGCCAAAAGTGCGAACAGGAAGATCCAAGTTTGGCTTCACAAATTACTTGACGAGTTCATTCATGTCTCGCAAGTGCATTCTCCCACGGAGCCGGATCGATCAAGATTTTCATTGATGCAATACTTGATTCTCCACAATAGTCACACCACTTTCTTTCTTACATATTTTAGGTGAACTTATGAAGCCTTGAGAGGGCGCTCGGCGGCGAAGGTACCTGCGTAGCAGGGTTTCTGCCTCAAAACTGAGATAATACGGCCCAGGATTATACTCTTAAAGAAATACAACGAATGGGAAGAAATGAGAAAGTAATATTATGTTTAACTATCCCAAAGAGAGCTTGGCTTTATTGCACGCCGACGTAGGCAGCATCAGTTAGAATAGCTCCAAGTGAGGGTCCTGGGTTATTGTCGCATCGACTCTTTTGGGAAACCAGCTTTTCTCGTAACGTGTTCACCAAGTACCAACCATTCTTCGGCAAGTAATTGCACCAAGAGCGAATAGCTCAGGACATCGACAATTTGCGTCAACTGTGGTTTAAGTCCTTCTCCTACCTCATCTTCCTCTGTGATCAACAAACTTGTGCCAATAGTCGCCGCTAAGAATTCAAATACAGTCCACGCGGCCGTAATGTGGCTTTGTAACTATGTTTGAGGCAGCGTATTTTGCAACATCATATTTTTGAAAATATGTGTCTCTCTCAGGAAAAGTATCATATTATTCTGTTGAAACGACTTATATCCCTTGGCAATTAATCTTCCTTGTCATCTCATAAGAAAAAGGCTATAATTTTTCATGTGATTATAAAACATTTTCTAAGAGTTGCCAAACTCAAAAGTTGCTTTTCATATTGGGCCGTTAGAAGAATGGAAATAATGGTGACCCCATTTTTCTGGGGAATAAGATGTTACCTTTTCCTCGTTGACGGGTATTTGGAATTTGTTCCAAAAGGAACGTTCCACTCACTGATTCATCTGAG